AGTTTTAGGGATCCTATGTAGTTTTGGATAGCAATCCTTTATCAGATGTGTCTTTTGCAAATAACTTCTCCTAATGTGTGGTTTAAATTTTCATTCTCTTGACAATGTCTTTAGCAGATCAGAAAATTTTCATTTTAGTGGTCTAGTTTTTCAATTGTATTTTCTTTCATAGATCATGCCTTTGGTGTTGTATCTAAAATAATCATTGCCAAACCCATGATCATCTAGATTTTCTGCTTTATTTTAAGAGTGTTTTTTTGTTTGTTTGTTTTTTATTTTACATTGAGCCTATGATCTGTTTGAGTTAATATTTGTAAAAGGTGTCTGGTCTGTGTCTAGATTCTTTTTGTTGTTCTTTTTGTTGTTGTCCACTGTATTTCCTTTTTCCTATAAAAGATAATTTAACAGTATTTATATGGGTGTATTTATGGCCTCTGTGTTCTCTTCCATTGATCTGTCTACCTTGGTGTGGCAGACCTCTCCTGACCCACCTGCTGCTCCCCTCAGCAGTGTACTTCATCAGTCGTCCTGTTCTGCTCCCCACTCTGTCTCTGGCTTTGGTGAATCCTCTTACTGCCCCTGCACCTCTGGCCTGTACCCCATTTCTTTATGCATAAATAAATTAAATCTCCAAAAAAAAAAAAAAAAAAAACCAAACCAAAGTACTCTAGTGTATTTCAAATGGCTACTTTTCTTCTCTCTCTGCCAGAGGCATGAGGAGATTTTTCTCCAGTACTCCTTCGGCTGGAGTTAAGGTTGAATCTCCTTAAACTTCTAAGGGTATAAATTTCAAACCTATTGTGTAATCATAGATAACAAATACAGATAATAATCTACTTTATTACATTCCTCTGGAAACAGATAAGCTGTGTCAATCTGTTTGCTCAAAAAACTGCCTGGGGCCTTCCTGGGGGCAGAAGGTGTTGAGACCTAGCACTATGAAGCTGTCCTCAGTCACTGCAGCACTAGTTCCATCCCTGGCCAGGGAGGTGACCCACATGGCATGGCAGACCTCTCCTGTCTTGCCTGCTGCTCCCCTCAGCAGTGTATTTCAGTCAATCTGCCTGTTCTGCTCCCTACTCTGTCTCTGGTGAATCCTCTTACCGCCTGAACCTCTAGACTGTACCCCAGTTCTTGTATGCATAAAAAAATCTTTAAAGAAACAAAACAATTCCTGTTCAAAAAATGAAAACAAAAATCAAATCCTTGAGTCTATACTGAAGGAACTAAATGGAGATACAATAGTAAGAGTTAAGGTAGAAACAGAAGTGCTTTACTCTGCTAAAAATTTATTTTTAAGATTAAATAGTTCTTAAAGTATGGCTCACAGTTTTCTGGAGATCATGAGATACTTCAAGTTACCTGTAAATTCAAAACAATTGTCATTATAATACTAGGGTATTATTTTCCCTTTTAAAATCTCTTCAGCCTGTGTACAATGAAGTTTCCCAGAAATTACCACTAATGTGTGATGCCACAACAAATTGAATGAAGAAACAAACCAAACTATGTATTAGGTCAGACATTAAATTTTATTTTGCAAAAATGTAAAAAATATTATTCTTTTGAATATTTTAAAATTGCTTTGGAAAAGTTATTTTTCATAAAAAATGTTAATATGAAATGTTTGTTACTTTTAAATGAAAAAGAAATGCTTGTTACTTTTAAATGAATTAATTTTACAGTTGTAATTTTTAATATGGTAAATTTTAGCTGCTATAACCTGTATAAACAAAAGCTCTTTGGGACTCTCATAAAAATTTAAGATCGTAAAAGGAATCATAGGACCAAAAAGTTTGAGAATCATTGAGCTCAAGGAACAAAAAATGTAATTAGACATATTTGTACTCCTTGCAAGAATATTATCATAATGAATCTGAGTAGTTCCAAGATTTCCTTTTTAATCTGACAAGGAATTGTAATATTGGCTGGGTTTAATATATATATATTTGATTGTTTTTATTGCAGTAACATTGGTTTACAATATGATTCAGAAGTATAGGATCACACTGCTTCAGATCTGTCATGGCACACCCACTTCCAAAGACTCACATTCCACAGCATAGAGCACTGTACGCCTCTCCCCTGAGCGCCTCACATTCCTCAACTCACTCTGCTAGCCTCAGTTGTATGGTCAGATTTTTAGGGTTTCCATCAGTTCTTTTAAACAGCAGAACTTGCTTAGAGTTTGCTTAGAGTTTTTAATTTCTAAGAAATTAAAAAGCAGGGGGCAGGACTGAAGGCAACCCAGAGTTTTACCTCAATTTCCTGTCAGAGCCTGGTATATCCAGCCTAGTTTTGTCACCTGTGGTATAGGATTCCATTTTACAGATATTAACACTAAAGAATGGGGAGAAGTTTCTGATTTTAGAATTATAGGAACCTACCAATTCATGCACACAAGACAAATAGACACAATATATTCTGTCTCTGGTCAGGAGCTCATTCAATATTAGCAAGATCTCAAGCTTACAGTTATCAACAGTAGGAGTATCAGAATCCTCATGACAAACAGACAAAAATCCAAACTAACCTATTGTTTGTCACCTGTCACAGAATGGAATGATTCCTGTTGAATCTGTCCTACAAAAAAAATCACCATCAATGACAAAACAGTCAATATTTCACATCACTGACCTCAGGAGGGAAGAATAACGGAATAAATGCAAATCTGAAAAACAACCTGACTTGTGAGAGCCAGAAAGCTCCAGAAACATGATCTGTCCCACTCACCAGAAGAGCAAGGAATGGGCAGCCCCTGGGACCTGAGTTGGGACAGGCGCCCTTGAGGCTGTGGACGTCTGGGCTCTGAGGGGAGGTTGAGGTAAAACTTCCTGGTTGCCCTCAACCCTGCCCCTGGCTTTCTATTTTCTTAGGAGATTTCACTCAGCCAGCCCTGCTGCTTCCCTTGGCCATTCTAAGGGTGGCTGGGGCTGCCTTCTTCTACAAAGGTGGAATTGCACCGGAGGGGTTTCTCTCAGCTGTCTCTGTAGGGCAAAGCTTTGTGTACCTGGGGGCTTTCTTTCAGCTCTCTAACTGCCTCCTCCCATTTTGAAGTACTATTATCAGGACTTGGTGAAGGACAGCATGGCAAAGAGTTGGCAGTATGCAGTCTGACTGTTTTGGAGTCTCCTTTCCAATCTATTCTGGATGCCAGCCCCACACATGGCCTGAAAAGTTTATTAAAAAATAGGTTGGTTTTTCCTGCACACCATAGATAGTGGACATCTCTGTTTCAGACAGAATGAAAACTGCTATGGTTCTTCTGTCTTATAAGGGTCTCATCGTTTCTGGAGTTTAGTTTAGAGGTTGGTAAACCATAAGAGTCAAAAAGAAATGTTTTGTGGCTTTGTGGGTAAAGAGACAAAATCAAGCAATTCTTAGTGAAAGATTGTTCAGGCTGAATTGCCATTTTCATATTTTATAGTTAAAAATGTAAAAATCATTCTTGGCTTAAGGGTCAAATAATAGCAGGGGTCGATTGATTCTGTTCCAGGGTCAAACCAATCCCTAATTTGATTCGTTGATACTTGTATTCTTACTGAGCTTTTAAAAAATCTATGTTATGTTATCTTTCTAGCTTTCTTCTGTTGTATCCTGAGAGGTCAGTCTCAAAGTCACTATAATCATGTATGCCTCTGTCTGAGCCTGGATCTGATTTCATCCCAAATACTAAATCATTATAACACTGTTACAGGCTCACAGAGATGTGTGGAAGTTCATGGTCATCTTCTCACAGGGAGATTACTAAATGAATATCCTAATAAAATGTATACATATTTCAGCTTTTAATAATCTAGAATATATTACCTACTGGTACTAATGGCCAATATTTTTATCATTTGTGAATTTAAGGTAGCTACAGGTATAGTTAATCTTTGGCCTCACATTAAAGTATACATTAAATTGCATATGTTGTTAATTGAAATTGTAAATACAGTCTGTATATACCCACAGGACAAAGAAATATTTATGTGTATGTTGACAATTAATATGGTTCCACATAATCCACCAAATAATAGTGTTTGTGTTTTAATATGAAGGAAAGATGTCTGGCTGCTGTTAACTTAGGGTGCTCTGATTATAGAATATTTGCTTTACTAGGGGAATGGAAGGGTGGGGGGTGGTCAAATGGGCATAAGTTTCAGTTTTGCAAGATGTAATTGTTCCAGGGACTGGTTACACAACATGTAAATACACTTAACACTACTGTTCTCTTATTGAAGATTAAGATAGTAAATTTTATCACATGCATTTTTATCACAATATAAAATTTTGCTTTAAAAATGTTACTACACAACTTAATGTGATAACTATGGAAAAATAAGAAGCTACAAATAAGCAAAAAGGAAAACAGAATCACCCAAAGTCCTAAGAGCTAAGCTTAATACTCTGTTGCATAAATGCAGAAATCAAATGTAGGTATACCGCTCCACACTGGGTAAGCTATTTTATTATCTGATGACTTTTTCAAACAAGTTTTACACTACTTTAAACCATATTTTAAATTCTATCTAGAGGAGTAGAATATTACACATTTCTATGAACTTGATGGCCTTTTTTTTTTTTTTTTACAAAAATGAAACTGCATACTCACATGGCCGTCCAGTGATGCTTCTCTTCCTGGGTCATGTGCCATCAGGAGAAAAAGTTTCTTTCACTCCTGATTTGTCAGCCAGCTCTGCTGCCACCTTTCAGCGGTTTCTTTTACATATGAAGACACCTATAGAGTCTTCTGGTCCTTTCGGGACTGGTGAGTGTACCTGTCCGTGCGACACCTTTTCACATGTTTATGCACTGAAGTATTATACAAAATACTTCTGAGCAAAGTTAACGATTAAATTATTGGGATGAAAGGTCAACAGATCTGCCTGTAGTTGGGACATAGGAGGTTGGGAGATCTCCTGATTACTACTTGACTTCCACCCTCTCTGAGGACAAAACGTAAATAAGAATCAGCACCGTCGCAGGAGTCTCCATTCCAGACTGCTCCGGGAATCATGCTGGATACATTCTGCAACTCTACTTTTTGGGTAAGAAATTATAGTTTTCTTGACTGTTTACTTGTCTCAGATTCAGAACAAATAGTAGATTTGCCGAGAGTGGCCACCAAAAAAAAAAAAAAAATGTGTGGACTAAAATGCATGCTTTTTAGATAAACCCATGTCATTAGTGGTCACGTGGATGGATGTGGAAGAAGGAAGAAATGATGCTAAGTGAAATAAGTGAGAAGGAGGAAGATAAATACGGTGGTTTCACTCATGTGTGGAATATAGAGAAACAGAGGGTCGGGAAAAAGACAAAATTTGTAAGCTGACCAGAGTCTGAAGCCCACTAAGCTTCAGCAAGGAAGGAGAGAGAGGGACCTAGACCGGAGAGGAGGGAGCACAGGAGCTGTGAGATGGGTCCTGGGTGCTATAGTGGTGGGGGCTACAGTGAGGGAGAAATCAAAGACTGTCCAAATATTAACAATGATGTGAGGAAATAAATCAATTTAATAATAAAACACATGCATTTTTTTTAAAGAAATGCTAAGTCATTGCCAGAAGGTACTCTGCATGTGAAAAGTAAGTTTACTCTGGCATGTTTATGTCCTCCCTCTGCTTGGACTGTGTAGCAAAGCCGCATTCCCTAATAAGGAAAACAGGGGAAAGGTTTCCAATTTTATCAATGCCAAGAAAGGGAATTGCATAGTTTGTGGGGTAGAAGGAAGAAGAGAAATTCGTTATTGAATCTTTTGGGGATAAGTTGATGTTGAAGTGACAATGGTGAGCACTGAGAAATGTGCTCACCCAGAATTTCAAGACAGCATGAGCAACTCCAAATGGTTCAGTGGACTAGAGAATGAGAAGCAAGCTCGGAGTTAGTGATTTTGATAAAGACCTACAATCTCCCAGTATCAGCACCAGAATCAGCTGGAGTACTTGTTAAAATTGTTCAAATATCTTAGGTAATTCTTTTGAACTGTAAAGTTACATGAATTTATGGAGAGATAAGAGGAGCTGCAGTGGAGATAGCAGGGCACTTCCCATCTTAGAGAGAATCTGGGTCCCCAGGACCTTGAGGCCGGCAGCCCAGGTGGTCAGCTCTGTCTGCCCCAAAGAGGTGGGGCTTTCTAGGCCTCAGGCATTTCTTGAGAATTCTCTGACAATTATCTGACAGACCCACCCTGTTCAGGGTAACTCAACTTTTTCCTTAAAAAGTCTGTGCGGTCAGCTGTATAAATTCTACTCTTCCATGACTCAGACATAAGAATGGTGCACCCCTTCTCCTGACCTCCCAACACATTCTGTTTACTGCTGAATGCAAAGACCCAAACCTGCTGGGAATGAGCTTCCTGTCAAGTGTTTTGCCACTCCTGTGTCGAAGGTCCTCTCAGGTTCTGATACACTCTGGGTCATCAGAGGCCAAATATGACTAAGCATCCTGCTTATCTGCTGCCTGCATTTTTGAATGCCAGCCAGTGAGTTTAAGCAGTCAGAAAAATAAAACATTTTTTTTTTATATTTCAGGTAATTATTCTCCCCTTTAGATTGAGGAATGGCCCCTCTTACCCTCCACCCCCAAACTTAACTGCAGTGAAATAGACTAAGAATAGCTGGCTAAAAAAAAAAAAAAAATTTGCTTAAAATCATAGAAAAAAAAGGATTTTAGAGGTTGGATTGGCCAGAAAAGTCACTAAACATCAATAACTGGTGAATTTGCGTCAGCGGGGATAAGAAGGAAATGCAGCTGGTTAGAGGGTCAGGTTGCTAGACACAGTCCTGAGGTATGATTGCCTGGGTGTGGGTTGGGACTGATCTGTCTTCAAAAATGTGTGCATCCAACAATTCTTCCTTTCCAGAATTCCTCATTCCTGAATAGTCCGGAGGCAGACCTGCCACTGTGTTTTGAGCAAACTGTTCTGGTGTGGATCCCCCTGGGCTTCCTTTGGCTTCTCGCCCCTTGGCAGCTTCTCCATGTGTATAAATCCAGGACCAAGAGATCTTCTATAACCAAACTCTACCTTGCTAAACAGGTATGGGAATGCCACCACTTGCATTGCATAATTCTTTGATATATCATAGAGACATTTTCCTAGTGGTTAAAATGTTCTTTTTCCTGTCTTTAACCAACTTTCCCAGACGCTGCTGTCTCAGGAGACATACAGACCCATGCTCTGTATGTCCCCTCTCCACCTGCCTTGTGCCTCAGCAACACTTTGCTCTGTTTCTTAGTCAAGATGACTTTGATTTTTGCATGCAAACAGTGACTCTTGAGTTTTTTTTAAAAAAAGATTTATGTATTTATGCATGCAAGAACTGGGGTGCAGGTCAGAGGTGCAGGGGATGAGAGGATTCATCAGAAACAGAGTGGGAGCAGAATCGGCAGATCTACTGAATACACTGCTGAGGGGAGCAGTGGGCGAGACAGGAGAGGTCTGCTGCACCATGTGAGTCACCTGCCTGGCCTGGGATCAAACTCATGCTACAGTAGCTGCCAATAGCTTCATACTGCTGAGACTTAACCTCTTGTGCCACCAGGAAGATCCGACTCTTGAATCTTACGGCTATTGGAATCCTTAAACACCAATGACCAGTAATAAGACAGTCAGATGTCTTTTCAGTATTTCAGAATAAAGTCTGGACTACCTCCCTACCTTTAAAATTCTTCTAATAAATCAGGAGACCCCAATTCAGCTGACACCTACCATGATGTTAAAATGACCCATATAATGTGTCTTTTGTATCATTTGGGTAATTCAGCCATTTATCTTCCAAAACTCAGATCTGACATAGAGCTTTCCTAGTCTTCCATGAATCTAAACGATCACAGAGGAAGGGGATGAGTGCTCACAGTGGCATAACTGACTTGGAAAAAAATGGAAAAGACAGGCAGTGCTCAGTGGAGAGATGCGGGGAGGAGCCTCTCAGCCCGCTGCCTGTTTCATACAGAGAACCTGGGAGCTGACAGACCCTCAAATTGAAGTTGTAATGCTACATCATAAAGTCTGACATCTGCTTCTCTTTACTTCTTCTCTCTATCCTTCCTGATCTTTATAGTAGTCTTTAGAAAGACAAATTAGACTTAGGATCCCATGAACATACATGCCATTGACCTCAGATGAACTCCAATCTAAAATCGAAAGGAAGACAGCTGGCCAAAGGACATTGGATTTGCCCTGACCTCGGTACAGTCTCTGAGAGACTACGGTGATGTCTTGCCTCTCTTGTTGACCCAATTCCCAGCATAAAGTCTAGTACCTAATACATATTATTGAATGTTGGCATCAAATGAATTCGAGAGTAGGTATTGAGTCAACAGCATATTAGATTCTATACATTGAACAACATATTTTATTATCCTTGGTAAAGAGTCAAAAATTTTGAATAGAGTGAAACAGCCTTCCACCATTTTCTGGTGCTTTCAACAAATGGCTGTAAATCATTAATATGTGAATCATCATCGCATTCCATTCATAGCTATCAATTAACTTTGAAAAAGTTTTATAGCGTAATAATTTAAAGACCATACAAATCACCCATTCAACTACTTTCTTTTTCTTCAGTATATTCACCATACATGCAACCTTCACCACAGTCACAGTAAGAATATTTTTGTTCCTTCACATCAACTAACAACCATAAATCAGAGACATTCTACCGGGAAGGAGAGGGGAACAAGATCAAAACTGGGGTGGGAAGAGCACATGGGACCATGGTGACGTCACCTGGGTGAAGTGGAGGTGGGAAGGCCACGGCATTACAGCTAAGAATGAGGATAATGTAAACAATGTATTTATAAAGTTTTAAAAAAGAATATTTTTGTTCCTTCAGAAAGAAACCCCGTAGACACTTACTGTGATGTCAAGTTGATTGTGGGTACAGTGAGGGGTATGGACACATTTATATTGGAGATGTAGGAGGACATCCTTTCTCGGCAGGCTCCCTGGTCCTCTATGAGATATTTACATTAAAAAATTTTAATTTATTTAGGCATACAAGAACTGCGGTACAGGCCAGGAGTGCAAAGGGTGAGAGAATTTATTCACCAGAGACAGAGTAGGGAGCAGAACAGGTAGAGTGACTGAAATGCACTGCTGAGGGGAGCAGCGGGTGAGACAGGAGAGGTCTGCCAGGCCATGTGGGTCAGCTCCCTGGCTGGGGATGAAACTAAAAGGTACCCTAGGGTCCTCCTTGGTGCCGCAACCAGTGAAAGTGCAGCATTGTGAAGCTTACCACAGCGGATTCAGCCAGCTCTATACTGGAGCTGACCTCTCCTGACCCACCGGCTGCTCCCCTTGGCAGTGTACTTGGTAGATCTGACTGCGCTGCTCTCCACTCTGTTTCTTGTGAATCCTCTCACCACTCCTGCACCTCTGGCCTGTACCCCAGTTCTGTATGCACAAATAAATCTTAAAAAAAAAAAAAGAAACCCCTAACTATCAACTCCTATCTCCCCATCTCCCTTCTTTTTAAGCAACCACTGAACTACTTTCTGTTGCTATAGTTTCCTATTCAAAACATTTCATATGAAATTCATATGAATTCATATGATTGTCTTCTTTCACTTAGCATGAAGTTTTCAAAGGTCTTCAAGGTTGTAGCATGTTATCGTACTTCATTCCTTTTTATGGTTGAATAACATTCCCTTGTGTGGATAATATAAGTTTTGTTTAACTTTTGTAGACAGAGTCTCTATAGAGAAATAGAAAGCAAGTCTTGCCGGGTATATTTTTCTGTAATTAATAACCCACCCCCTCTTTCTCATTGTCTGAGGGGCCCGTCTTGTCATTTCTATCTTCCTTTTTGTCTTCCACTCTGAAAGTGACAGGCACAGATTAGCTTACTTAAAAATTCAAAATCCTTCAGTCTTCTTATCTAAATCAGTTGGAAGTGTAATCCCTGATAAAGTAAAACAACTTCTATAAGGACCTTCTTGGCTTACCCCTCAACTTGACTCTGTTTTTCCATTCCTCTTCTACCTGCCCTTGGGTTATTTGCTTGTCTCTGACTTTCCTGAGTTGCTGTTATTGCTGTTGTTTGCTTGATCCTTAATGTAATGTTCATCTCCTCCAAATTAAGTCAGTTTGCTCAACCAAACTGGGAAGAGATTCTACAAGTCTGTTTCAAGGTGCATCCTTACTGAAAGGACCAGTGAACAGTTGGTAATTAAGTGAATTGATTTTTATTTATTTATTTTTTAAAGATTTATTTATTTGTGCATACAGAACTGGGGTACAGGCCAGAGGTGCAGGGGCAGTAAGAGGCTTCACCAGAGACAGAGTGGGGAGCAGAACAGGCAGATCTACCAAGTACACTGCTGAGGGGAGCAGCGGGCGGGTCAGGAGAGGTCTGCCGTGGCATGTGGGTCACCTCCGGGGCAGGCAGGGATCGAACTCATGTGGAAGTGGCTTTAGCTTTTTAGTGCTGTGCTTCAATCTGCTGCACCATCAGGGAGGGCTGTGAATTGATTTTAAAAATGAATGAAAGAATGATCTCATGTTTAGTTCCCGGGAAAAAGATTGACGTAGTTCTGGAGTTTGTGGATGCCCCGTTGCCGCAGGGTGGACCTAATGACTAGCCAGTGAAAGGAGGGACTCTCCAGTTTTTGTAGAAGTGTAATCTAGAAGATTGCCTAGCTGTTCTGGAATTTTCAAAATGCAAGATCAAGAAAAGTGGGGTTGGGAGGAGAGCTTGCCCCAGGGAAGTTGACTTTAACTAAATATACAGAACTTTATAATAGTAACAACAACTGTCCTATAGTCAAATTGATTGCTCGGGGATATGTCCCATGAAAATATTGAAACTGTAGTTAGACATTTGTCTGCTGGGGAAGTGCTAGTAGATACTTTATGTAACTGGACAAAAGTCAATCATCATCCTCAAAGCATCACTCACAAAGGAGGAATGTGCAGAAATGGAGAGAAAGTAAATAAGGCCAAATCACTCCCCTTTCCTTTTAATATTATTGAAAATATATCTCTTTAGCAAGCTGAGTTTAGTAAACTCCATGTGAGAGTGGTGTAGGACTAAGTTATGAACATGTGCGAATGGTGTAGGTTGCTCTGCCATTATGTATAAATCTGCTTCCTCAGCTGGTCTTTTCTTGATGGGACCTGTCAAGCCTGAGTCCTGGACCACACTCTGGACTTAACAGCTTTCCCCAAGAGCAGACCGTACTGCAGGCCAAATGAGGATGCGTTTACTCTGGGGCACCAATATCCACATTACCCACCTAGCCCTCCTCAGGGAAAGCACTCAGTTTCTCTAGAGAGAGCCCTGGTGTTAGCCTGGTTGGGGGTGGAGATGGAAAATACAGCTGTTGCCACTGATTTGCAGTGATGAGCTGGGGTCGGGGGAGAAGGAAGTGACTTGGCATTACTGTGAGTAACTGTGTAAACTTTAAGGCTCGAACTTCGGTCCTTTCCCTATTCTTACTCTCTGCCATGGCTGACTACAAAGAATAGATATATAGCAGGTAAGACTGTCCCACCTACAAGCCATACCTGTTGGAATCTCTTATCTATGTAACAAGAAGCCCAGAGGCAGGGCAGCCCCAGGACCCGTCAATTTAGCAGTAAACAACATCCACAGCAAGCTGATAGTCCTCATCTTTTCTCTGATAACCTCAGCATACCACCCAGTTATCAGCTGGCACATGACTGCAGATGGCTGCAGAACCCTCACATGCTGAAAAGTACATACAGTGTCCTAAAACAGTTACTTCAAAAAGAAAGAAAGCTAAAGATACCAGTTAGCCCCAGGTGTCATTTGAAAAAAGAAGCAAGAGCGTTCTGCAGATAGAAATCACATGCAATAAAAATCACCTATTTCGACTATATAGTTCAGTGGTTATTGTGTAGTCACAAAATTGTGTGATCTTCACCACTAAAGCCAGAATATTTTCACTTTCCCAAAAAAGAAACCCCTTACCCACTAACCAGTGATGTGACTCTAGTGAAGATGCTTATGCATAAATATTTGCCTGCAATTCCAATTACTTCCTCAGCAAAGATTAGTAGAAGAAGGATTACTAAATCCAAGTATATGACACTTTATAGTTTATGAGACTGTTAATGTAAACTTTTGGAAGACCATGAAAAAGACTGTCTTTTCTTGGGATCAAAGAGTTATAATTTAGGGAGCACAGATTCTAGGTATGTAGAAACTTAAACACGTTCTAAGAAGGGTCAAGTCAGGAACTCCTTTGTAGGAGAAAACAGAGAATGAAATGAGAAGAGGAGTCATAGGTGAAAATTGTGTGGAAGGTCACAAAGGAGAAGTTCACAGGGCCTCCTCCTTGGGCTGGTGACGGTTTGACCCAGTCCAGGGGTCCCTCAGTTAAAGAGGAAAGGAAAGACGTTTTCCTTTGGCTCACTTTAAAGACAATTCCAGTGATGTCAACTTTTCATAAAGCATAATGGAGAATTTGTATAATCTAGGAAGATTTTTGGCAATTTATAGTCTCACCTGAAGTGTGAGACTAACGTGCATTGCTTTGCACTCTGGCCAGCACTGAGTAACATCTTGTTCTTCAGTTTTACATACAACATAGCATCCTATTGTTTCACTTTGCGTTCTTTAATTACCAACATAATCAATCTTGTAAAGTTTGTTAAAATAGTTCACATTTGTTCACATCACTTGCTGAGTTTTTTAAATGGGGATTTGTATATTTAACTTCTCTTTCAGATAGATGATTTTCAGAGGGTTACAAAATTCAAAAGCACAGAAGGATACTCAATACTCTAGTCACTCAGTCCTGTCTGATCTGGCAATCCTCAATGCCAGTTCCTTGTAGAGCCTTCTAGAGATAACCGTGCTTTACAAACACCCATGTCAGCATTTAAGATGTGTTTCTTTTTAATGACTAAAATGCAACTCAATGTTATTTGGATGAGCCATAATTTTTAAAAACCTTTTATTTATTTATGCATACAAGAACTAGGGTACAGGCCAGAGGTATGTGTGGGGGGCTGGGGGGTTGAAAGGATTTATCAGAGACATAGTGAGGAGCAAAACAGGCAGATGTACTGAAATACACTGCTGAGGGGAGACAGGAGAGGACTGCTGTGCCATGTGGGTCACTCCCTGACCAGGCATCAAACGCCTACTGCAGTGGTTGCAGACAGCTTCATAGAATTGTTGTGATTTTACCCTTGCACTACAGGAAGGCCTCATGAGACATAATTTATGTACCCAATAGGCTAGAAATTGAGGTGGTTTCCAACCTGCTGCTCATAAGCAATGATACAATTAATAACTTTGTGCCCGAGTGTATCTGAAGAATAAGTTAGAAATGAAATTTACTCAAAATGTTATAGACAGTAAAAACTGCCCTTCCATTGATGTTGTATTTTCAAATTTTGATATTTGCTAATCAGTTAAGTGAAAAATGGCATGTCATAATTGGAAATTGCACCACTGTTAGTGAAGCCAAGCACTTTTTCATAGGTTTACAAGCTGTTGTGTTTCTTTCTTTTTTTTTTTTTTTAAGATTTATTTATTTATTCGTACAGAACTGGGGTACAGGCCATAGATGTGGAGGGTGAGAGGATTCACCAGAGACAGAGGGGAAGCAGAACAAGCAGATCAACGAAGTACACCACTGAGGGGAGCAGTGGGCAGGTCAGGAGAGGTCTGCCACACCATGTGGTCACCTCCAGGGCAGGCGGGGATCGAGCTCATGCAGAAATGGCTTAAGCTTCTTTGTGCTGTGCTTTAACCTACTGCGCCACCAGGGAGGGCCCTGTTGTGTTTCTTTTTAAAAAAATTATTCATTTGTATTCTATGCCCATATTTACATTGGTTAGTTATTGTTTTTTAATTGCCTTTTTCATGCTTTTTGGTTAAAACATAATAATCTGCATATAATGAAAATGGCCTTCTAAAATACAATATAGTGAATTTACATATACTCATTTTAAATGCAATATATTATGCGTTATGACTTGGAAGTAACCGTAAACATTTTTAAGCAGTAGAAATATACAGAACAGTTACAAATAGAAACACCAAAAAAATACCCTTTTTTAAATCCCAGAAACAAACATTAAGCCTCCGATTATTAAGAAAACTCTGAAAAAGGTGGTTGGATATACATAAGAGTATGTTGGGGGAAATGCAGAGAGACTAGCATCTTTCACTTTGACTTAAAATACTGAAGTCATTAAACTTAGCATGCCGGAGCCCAGAGAACAGTTCTGTGTCAGCCCCAGTTCTGTGTCAGCCCCACCCCGGAACTGGCAGCAGTTATTTATTTATTTATTTATTTTTATCACTAACTGACCACCTGTGACTTTTCCCTGGCACTGTCATCTCATGGAGGCTTTTCATCAGTACCCTATTCTTTTGGACACATTTGGGGCACAGCACATTGTCTTCCTGGTTCGGGGGGCACACATTTCCACACACAGCCGTGCTGCTCCAGTACCCGGCTTGTACCCCACGGAGCTGTAGACGGACCCCATCACTGTGTGCAGCAACACTTGTCCCCTGGGTCACACATGCCTGCCATTGTCCGGCTCTCCTGGTGACTGAGCTTCTTCCTCCACTTTCCTGGCCAGACCTGCAATTCTGGTCCATTGGGCAAATACAGTGTAGACTTCACGGACCACCCCCCTTCCCCCCCACCACTCTTCAGGGGAAACAGCCACTGTGGGGGGATCCGTTCCCTCGGAACTTTCCAGAGCTATTTTCCCTTGCCCCTCTTTGCTTTTCTCTCTGACTGTTTCAGATTCCAGACCTCCTTTCTGTGCCAGGAATGTCCTTTTGATTTCAATGTGCATATTTGCAGGTCCTCTCCTTAAGTTCTAATTCCCGGTACAATGTCCTATTGAAGCAGGTTGGCTGGTGGCATTTTCCAGGGCAATGCAGGAATCATCTTGGGTGAATACTTGTCATTCTTTATGCTGCCTTCCATTTGAAGGAAACTTTGTTGTCTCACACTTCTCTTTTGCTTGGTTCCCTTTGCTGAGGCCCTTTTGGTAGCTGACTTGAACTTCAAGTCCCCTGTTCCTCTACCAACACAGGTTAGCACTGGAAAGTAAGATTTTCTTCCCCCAACTTCTTTGTGGAATTCTATTCTTTGCCTTTGGAATTCTCCAGACTCAGAAAATAAGTTGAAGTGACATAAAGTTGCAATGACAGATATGTCTCACTTCTGAAATGGCCCCTGATCCAAGATTGCTTTTTAAAAAGACTAGAGCTTTTTGATATAGATTGTTATATTTTTAATCAATTTCTAAAGTATTTCCAATCAAATTTTGTCAGCTTAATACATGTAAGTCTGTAACAAGAGCTTTGCCTTTTCCTTGGCTTGGGGGATGGTCTGCTGGCTTGTAGGCACGTCATCCATAGGGAGTGTGCGTTGGCTCCAGCTTGCTCTATATTAACTCCTGATATTCCTAAAGACCAACATGTAACTCACTACTTCCAAGGAGGGAGGGGACCCAGTGGGTTTGAGGGGAGCTGGTGGGGCTTTGCAGGGGCGGGCGGTATATGGTATGGTCACATCCCTCAGAAGAAGAGGTGTGACCCTGTGCTCCTAAATCATATGAACTGTCACAAAACTCCCTTACCTTTAGGAAATAAACAAACTAAAGTAAACAGCAAAAGAGAATGATACCCTCCTGACAATGGTCTTTTGCCCTTCTCAGGTGCTTGTTGGGTTTCTTCTCATTCTGGCTGCCATTGAGCTGGCCCTTGTGCTCACAGAAGACTCTGGACCAGCCTCAGCCCCTGCCATTAGATACACCAATCCAAGCCTGTACCTGGGCACATGGGTAAGACCCGTTACCGCGTCAATTCTCTTTTTCTTCTCTCTACTCATAGTCATCTTTTGAAAGGAAATCAAGTCCAGCTTCATGTAACTTGTTCAAGGGAACTATGGTGAAGCAAAGCTTAGTTGTAATGAGTTGAAGCAAATTTAACTTTTCTTCTGCTTTTGAGCACTAGTTCATAGAGCCTTTTCTCTAGGGTAAGTGCTAACTTTACTGGCTGCATATCTCACCTCCTAAGGGTCATAAGAGAGGTCTAGTTTATTGAGGTAAATTTCGAAATGCTGTAGATATTGTTTTTAAATTGATTGGTGGCTAATCAATGGGTCACTGGGTCTCTAGATGTTTGTATAAATCTGGTGACATAATACCTGGAATAGAGAGGAAACATACAAGCCAATCACACAAAGAAACGGACAAAACTAAGCCACGAGAAGTGTGACTGTAGAACTGTAGAGGTGTAAGGGGTGGGAGTGGGGGCACAGGATGGAGGTGACACAAGGATTCAGGGGTCTCGGGGGAAGGACTGGGTGCTTGGATGGTGCTGGTGCAGTAGCGACATACATCTCAGGAGGTGTGGACGTATTCTCCTAAATTAGTACAGTGTCGTAAACCATCATTGCCTCAGAAAAGGAAAAAAATAAATAAACTTGATGGCAGAAACCTATGTCCCTGTGGCCAGCGTGGCTCTGAACACCTTTATATAGTGTTATAAAAGCAATGAATTCCGTTGCCATCATTTTAAAAGAGCAGGATGCCACATACTTGCTCGGATTTCCATACTTTCTTGCAAAATCAGAAGGTCTGGCCACTCCGGGCCTGCGCCCCTGCCGGCTATGGTCCTCTAGGACCGAGAAGCCGTTGTCCCGCTAGGCCAGGTAGGCGGCCAGGGCAGTTTTCTGCCCTCAACTCACTCGGTCTGGCTCGAGGCTTTTTGGTTTTGCTTTGTTATATTTTTGCTGGTTGTTCGCGTTACACGCCAAAGCCGGAGCCAGCTCCGAGTGCTGATTAACAACCTCTTCCTAGCCCGGCCTGGGGAGCTTAGTGACCTCAGTGGAGCTTGAAGCCTCCTCTGGCGGAAGTCTTTATGCCGTGGAAAGAGGCAAATGTTACACATCATGGATTTTTTTCAGCGAGGTGGGTTAGTAACCCAGCATTGGGGCTAGGGAATAATTATATCCAAGTGAGAGGATACAATGCAAGATTTTAAAAATTCCTTAGTCTGATATCATTAGAAGTCTCGATACAGACAGTTTACACTTAAAACAAGAGAATCTGCCTTCCCCACCCACAAATTTTCTAGCTGCTGAAGTTAATTTTCTGAGTTTTGAAAAGGTTTTTCTAATTCCCAAAGTAACTCCATTAAAATGCAGATGATGTCCTAAGAGGACCTTTGAAAACACTGTTCCTAACACTGAACCATGGCATGGTTCTCTTATATAGATATTTCAAAAATTTTCAAAAAATATATTTGAACTTGGGGACCAGTGTTTGCTTTGTTTTGTCCATCTTGTTAAATAAACAGCATGATGCTGATTTAAAAAAAAAATGCAAGTAATGATCCTCTGTATTCTTGGCTAACTCCCTACCCAGGGGTGGTAAGTTGGGATGGGGTGAAGAAGGGGGTCCCAGGGAAACACAGAGGCCACGAAAGGGTGAGTTGAGTGGTGTCAGGGAGGAAACTGACAGTTTAGCATTAGATAACAGCAGATTTGTTATAACAACTTCCTCCTCTGACTCCCAGTTCTTTCCTTGTTCCCTTCCTCCTTTTTTGCTTCCTGTCCTGGGTTAGTGAAAATATTTTCCGGCACCTGTTGTGAATTTCCCCCTAGCTCCTGGTCTTGGTGATCCAACATAGCCGGCGATGGTGTGTGCAGAAGGACTCTTGGTTCCTGTCCCTGTTCTGGATTCTCTCCATACTCTGTGGCACTTTCCAGTTTCAGACTCTGATTCGGATGCTCTTAAAGGTACGGAGGAAAAAAGGGGGTGCCTCAGGAGAAATCGCTGGCAGCTTCTAAGTTGGAGTGAGCAGCATAAAATAAATTGAGCTCCAGGATAGAACCGTGGCTGGTTGATTTCATAGTAGACTCACGTAGATTTAACTCAGATAAAGGCTCATTTTCTCTTTGCCCCACTTAGGACAGCAACTCGAATCTGGTCTACTCCTGCCTCTACTTCGCCTGCTATGGACTCCAGCTCCTGGTCCTGATCCTTTCAGCATTTTCAGAAAAAGACAATTCATCAAATGTGAGACTAAATATGTCTGTGCCTACCTCCTAGATTATTTATTTGAATGGTATCTTTTTTTTATAAAGTTATTTTTTTAAGATTTATTTATTTATTCATACAGAACCGGGGTACAGGCCAGAGATGCAGAGGGTGAGAGGACTCACCAGAGACAGAGTGGGGAGCAGAACAGGCAGATCAATGAAGTACACTGCTGAGGGGAGCAGCGGGCGGGTCAGGAGAGGTCTGCCGCGCCATGTGGATCTCCTCCGGGGCAGGCGGGGATCGAACTCATGCGGAATTGGCTTAAGCTTCTTAGCGCAGTGCTTTAACCTGCTGTGCCACCAGGAAGGGCCCTGAATGGTATCTTGACAAGAATAACGAGATTTCTGGGTCTCTCGGAGATCCCCCAGGATATACTGTAGATCAGGTCATGACCTCAGGGAAAGAAGGGGTGAGAGTTCAGAAATAGTGACTTGGACAGGGGCTCACCAGTCTTCAGCACAGAGTCCATCCATCCGTGCCCAATGTCACTAGTTGTATCCTACCTGTTACCTTAGAGTCTCCAAATAGGAATGTTGACCAGCCCATGTGAGCACCACACCTAGTTTCTGCATCATCTTTAGAAAAATCAGTGACTGATGTTAAAGTCCCATATAGAGTTTCTGTTTCCAGTTAATGTCATTTCGGGATTCTTGTGTCTTGCAGGATCTGGCATCCACAGCTTCGTTTCTGAGCACCATCACCTTCAGCTGGTATGACAGGTAGGAAATGCCAAGCCAAAGCTCATTTATATCCCTACCCCTCACTCTGCTGAAAAGGATGGAAATATTAACTAAAAAAAAAAAAGCCTTTGTGGCCTGCATTTCTACTCTACTTAGGCAGAGTCAGAGAGAGTTAAGGCTTATAGATCTTGTGGTTCAGTCGTTTCCTTAGGCAGATTGGGAATGCTGAAGAGAGTGTGAAGGGCGTTTATTCTTTTGAGCTGGGGGCTTATGGAGAAAAGAAAGGGCATCAGGCCAAGGAGGCAGTAGGGCAGAAAAAGGAGATTGGGGCAGGCAGTGTGGTGCAGACTGGAAGGGAAAGGTTGAAATAACAGGCCGGGGCTGCTAGAGGATCTGGAGCAGGCCTCTGGCTTTTGCAATTCCATGGGCCTTGCCAGGATTATAGAGAGACACAAATGTATTGAAATATAGTTACCTAAATTTTCAATACCTTTAAAAACATTTAAAAAAAATCTGTGATGTGATCATGCAAGTGCTTCTCCCCTGATGCATTAGACGCAGGTGTGGGTCTAGTAACCTCCAGGTTGTAATGAGCACAAACAAGCTGCGGAAAGGTCCGTGGTGTGTCCTGGTGGCAAAGGACGAGGTTCTCCTTTTGTCACTGTGACAGGTTATCGACACTCATTTTAGAAGGAAAGGCTGGATTTTAGGTGGAAGCCAGTAAAACTAAAGATGTAATTGATTTTCCATCCATGGGCTAACACCCCTGCTTGGGGAGCCTTGATCTGGAAGACAGTATAGAGGCAGCCTGATCAGCTCCCTGAGGGTGTGGTGAAGCCTCCTGCAGGCCCCCACATAGCAAAGGTTCACCCAGTGCTTGAGGAGGAAGGAGCAGGGGAGGGAAGCTCTTTTGCCTCCTAATGCAGTAATGCACCTTGACTGCCAATTCTCCTCTTACTTCCCGTCACCCCAGCTGCTCCCTTTTCTGCTCTCCACACTCCTCTATCAGAGAGTCAAGAAATGAGGTCGTGAGACAAGGGAGAAGTCCCATTCTTCTCTCCCAGAACTGGGGTGCAAGTCTGGTAGAGGCTAGAATACAGCCTGTGACCCAGCATGGATGGTCTCAGCCTGGGGGTCACTCTTGTTCTAGCACCATTCTGAAAGGCTACAAGCATCCTTTAACACTGGAAGATGTCGGGGAGGTTGACAAAGACATTAAAGCCAAGACACTGTTCAGCAAGTTTGAACCACACATGGCGAGAGAGCTGCAGAAGGCCCGGAAGGCGCTCCAGGGTCGGCAGCAAAAGAAGGCCCAGCAGGACTCTGGAGCCAGGCTGCATGGCTTGAACAAGAACCAGAGCCAAAGCCAAGATGTCCTTGTCCTGGTAAATTTCCTATGAGTCTCTGTGTGAATGTGCTGTGTGTCTTGGCAAGAGCACTTCAGTGTCCTCGCAATTCTTTTATTATGTTTAAAGCACTTTCTACAGTGCATTTTCTATTATTCATAGTATTTATAATACCAATAATATCTTGATTCTGGGTACATGGATATATAATATGTGATTCTCTCCTTTTGGGTTTTCTATAATAGGATATTCTAAAAAATAGGAAAAGAAAATAAATTGATCTGTAGGCTCGATTATTATTTTGTGGGACTCAGTATCAGCTCTTATTTCATTTATTCACTCAAGAATATTTATTGAGTGTCACTGTATGTCAGAGAACATCTGGGCCCTGGGTACAAGGAACAGCCTAAGAGTTCTTATCCTTAGACAACTAGTAAAGGAAGTTGACACCAGATTCATAGGTTACTCTTTGAGAGTTATAGGAGCTGTTAGGAGAGTAATACACGTTCATGTATTCGGAGTGAAGTCCACTTTAGGATGACAGAAGATACCCTAGAGGTCACGTGTCAGCAGAGAACCAAACGAAGAAAGGAGTCCAGCTGTCATCACAGATCTCTCTATGCCAAGCCACGCCCATCACACAGGAGTAAGGGCCACCGTAGGGGGACAGGGATGGTCACCAGCCAGGGGTGACAAGACAGACCCTGTGCAGAGAAAGCAGCAGGCCAAGGGCTAAGTCTCGGAGCTACTCAGTGCAGGACAGACTCTCGCATCACACAGCCTGCCACCGTTGTTGTTTGGGTTTGTACCTAGGAAGAAACTAAAAAGAAAAAGAAGAATTCTGAGACCACCAAAGACTATCCCAAGTCCTGGCTGGTCAAGGCCCTCTTCAAAACCTTCTACGTCACCCTCCTGAAATCGTTTCTGCTGAAGCTCGTGCACGATATCTTCATGTTTCTGAATCCTCAGCTGCTGAAGTGAGTCCCAGCCCTCCCTCGCCTCTCTCCTCTTTCCCTCTGGTGTACACAGCAGGAGCTTAGAATCACAATTTCTGAATGCTCATAAATTTCTTTCACCTTTCAGCACTGTGTCCATGAAAACCACAGGTGGTTTCCAGATCTAAGGGGATATGTCCATTAGCTTTCCTCTTTTCTACATCCCCCCTGCCCCCCATAAGAGACCAGAGGCTTGTGAGGGCCTTGTTCTTGTCCCACGTTGCTGCTGTGAGCTGAGCCGCACGCAGGAACCGGGCAGCACTAGTGTCTGTAACCTCACCACATCACGGTATCCAGGGGAGGTTCGGGTTAACCTCAAGTCAGCACAGTGTGCGGCGATCTCTGGGAGGAAAGTCTCCCAGGGAAGTCTTCCTAACTAGGCCGGATACACATTCTAAGTCGTCTTCAGGAGCTGATTGACCACAAAGCGCCCTCCCTGTTTTTTTTTGTTTTTTAATATATAGAATAGTTTATTTTTACATATTTTTGTGCATTTTTCCATCTCAGTTGCAATCCCCTTGGGTTTCCCATCATCAAATCAGCCATGTGCCATCACCATAGACAAAGCCCCTTTTAGGAGGGGGTGGAAGGAGACAGAGCCAAAACACGGCATCGGCTGTGTGGAGTGTTTCTTTCATTATACCTTCCCACAGCCTGGGTCATCAGCCCTTGGCCCTTGCCCATCTCCAGGCAAAGGCAAGGTTTCTCAGAGGCATCGGGCTGGTCCCCTTTGTTACCTGCAGGGTGAGGGCTGGGAGCTGGCAGCTCCTCAGGAGCTCAGGAAGCGCCACTCACTACGTCTTGCTCCGGCAGATTGCTGATCTCCTTCGCAAATGACCATGACACCTACCTGTGGACGGGATACCTCTATTCAATCCTCTTCTTCGCCGTGGCCCTCATCCAGTCTCTCTGCCTTCAGAGCTACTTTCAGCTGTGCTTCATGCTTGGTGCCAATGTTCGGACCACCATCCTGGCTTCTCTGTATAAGAAGGTATGAGGACTCTGTCAGTGTCACCAAAAATAGTCCCCTTGTGAATGTGAGCTTTGATTTCAAGGTTAGAGGAAAGTAGGATGGAAATGATGGTTGACTCTAACGCTTGATTCTCATTAAGCATACGGCCTTCTCATTCTGCTGCCAGGACCTTCCTTTCAGCTTCAAAGGTTTATACACCTGTCCCTCTATTCCTGCCTCTTGAAACCAGGTTAAGAATAGCTTGGGGAAGAATGTGAGGTCAGAAAAGAAGCTGGCTTAGGGCAGACTTGCAAAACCACCAACATTCCCACCAAATGTCAGATGAAACTGGATACAGAAGACCTGGCATATTCATGTGTTACCACTTTTCTGTGTTCTAGAATGCTCCACCTCTGCATGCCCATTGCAGCAGAGCAGCTTTTTCTAGTCTCTCGTGGCTGCTCAGCCCCTGCTCAGACTCCTCTTCTCAACATGTAAATAAATACATTTGCTGCGGTCACTGAGCTCCACAGATGCGGCAGCTCTTCCAGTTCCTCAAGATGAGACTTTTGGTCTCCCTCTGATGGCTTGTTTTTTTTTTTTTTTTTTTAAGATTTATTTATTTATGCACACAGAACTGGGGTACAGGCCAGAGGTGCAGGGGTAGTGAGAGGATTCACCAGAGGTTGGGGAGCAGAACAGGCCGACTGACGAAGTACACTGCTGAGGGGAGCAGTTGGTGGGTCAGGAGAGGTCTGCCACATCATGTGGGTCAGCTCTGGGGCCGGCAGGGATTGAACTCATGGGGAAGTGGCTTTAGCTTCTTAGTGCTGTGCTTTCACCTGCTGCGCCACCAGGGAGAGAGCCCTGATGCCTTGTTTTAGGGTGCCACTTCATTGTGTTTCCCTCATATCCTAGACACCAAGGCAAGTCTCATTCTGTCTCCAAAGAAAGGCAACCCTCAATCATATCTCAAATTTTTAATATGGTAAATGGAAGAAAATTGAAAGCAGAATAGACAGATGCTCAGCCTGCGGGGAATGTGCCCGCAGGCAGGGCGGGCCGGTGAGTGGCAAGCAAGTCCTGCGGTTGCCTTTTTTTCCTTTTCTTCCACCGCTCAGCAGCCTTGTCCTGACCTGTCTGCCACGGTGCCTGCTTCCCCTGGCTTCCCCTGCAATGCCAGCGTGCCTTTGTTTCCTCAGTAAATATTGCCATATCATTAACAGAGAGGTCGCCCAATTACCTTTAGATCAAAAGTCTGGTCAAGTCCTTTGAACTCCTAACTGCTCTCAGGCTGGGATTTCCCTTCCCCCAAATTAATTTTTAAGCCTCTTATTCCTCCTGGAGATAATTGGATTTCTGCCCGTTTGCAGGATATGAGGTCACAAACAGCTGCCTGGAACTACCAACCTACATTTTCACAGTTGTGAGGGTTCACTCACGTGATTTTCATTCTGAAGATAGTCCAGGCTTTATAACCATTCTAATCCAGAGTGTGCAGATAGGATCTTTGCTGAGGCCTTCATCGAAATAGCTGTTGCCTCTGCAAGGAATTTAAAAATGAGTAATTTTGAATGTCTGAGCAATGCTTTATTTATGAAATGTTATGAAACATTTTTTCACATGAATTATCAACTCATAGCCCTGTAAATTAAGTGCAGCAAGTGTCCCTATTTGCAGAGAAATAAGGCCTACATCATTTTAATGCCCATAGGCATTAAAATAGGCCGGACATAGCCCCAGACAAAGGCTATTTGTACTGAGTCAAGGACTCTTCAACCTTGTTGGGATTTATTGAGAAAAGAAGAGTGATTAACTTGGAAGCACTATTAGATATGCTTGTTTTTTGTTGCTGTTGCTTTCTATACAAAAGGGAAGCCCTAGGTTTCCACAAAACCTTTGTGACCTATCATGTTTGGAAATTTCCCTCTTTTTACTACACAATCAAGGATTCTGGTATGTTTTTGAAAAGAATGTATTGGTGCAATGAGATGACACCGATGCTGTAGAATAAGGCTGTGCTCTGGGGGTGCAGTCCACACCAGCGGAGGCTGGGGCGGTGGGGGGGGGGCACAGCACAGGCTGCTTTCAGCCCCCCTCCCTCAGAACCTCAGCTGAGGCACATGTCAGTGACGGGTCTGTGGACATCAGCCTTCTGATCTAACCTGAGAACTGAAGAGACCCCACTGCAAGAGTCAGGCATCTAAACACTGACTACAAACTCCCAATAGTAAGCAAGTCATTGTACTTCAGATGCCCGGAGCTAAAGCTGTCTGCTCCATCTTAAATCTCTGTCCTTGTTGGGAACCTCCTCATAAGAGTATGACTCCAAATAACATTGCTGCAACAAAAGCCTAGAGGCCCAGATCAATGCACAACTCTCCCTCCTTCAGCAGTATTTGAGTTCTGCTGTGTGCCACATATTCAGTGGGGAAAGGGACAAAGGTGGCCATGTTCTCCAGAGCTTATATCTGGTAGAGAAATGGAAACGCTAGTCTGTTACAGTTCACTGTGAGGAACATGATGGTGGTGGGCACAGGATGTTATGGGATACACAGAACGGTTCTCTCACCCAGCGTGGACTCAGGGAAGCCCTCTTCTGGCTATATTGACACTAAAGCACACACTAGTGCTTTCTGAGTAAAGAGGGGATGGGTGTGGGTGGGCAAGGGGGGATAACAGGAAAGAGGGATCAAGTTCTGCAAGACGTGGAGGCAACGAAACTGTTTCTCGGGAGTTTGTGTCCCTGTGGCCTCCACCCCCCTCCTGTGTTCTCACTTCTGAGTTTCCCTTCTGACCCCCAGTATCCTTGACCTGGTCTGTGGGCTCCAATCCCAGTCTTTTTCTCTAGGCGCTGACCCTCTCCAACCAGGCCAGGAAGCAGTACACCATTGGAGAAACAGTGAACCTCATGTCTGTGGATGCCCAGAAGCTCATGGATGTGACCAGCTTCCTCCACTTAATATGGTCAAATGTTCTACAAATCACCTTGTCCATCTACTTCCTGTGGACAGAGTTGGGGCCCTCAGTGTTAGCCGGAGTTGGGATTATGGTCCTCCTAATCCCCATTAATGGAATACTTGTCACCAAGAACAGGGCTACTCAGGTAAAAAAGGGGTATCACCTGGGATGGATCTTTATAAACCTCCCAAGTCTTAAGTCTTTTGCTTGCTCTAACTCTTTTTTAAAGGATTTATGTATTTATTTATTTGTTTGTGTAAGAACTGGGGTGTAGGCCAGAGGGACAGGGGATTGAGAGGATTCACCAGAGACAGAATGTGGAGCAGAACAAGCAGATTTCTATTTTAACTCTTGATGGGAATTTGGATAAGATAAAGTTGGCGGAGGCCTTCCCACCACCCCAAATGAATCTGGCTTTCATTCCCCTTTTTGTCTTCTAACCTCTCTTGGGGTTTATGTAATCCATCTTCATTCATGTTAGAGGGAAATGTGTGAGTGGAGAGGGAGAGAGGGACCTGTGAATAATTCTTGCACCTGTTCTGCTGGGCTGCTCTGAGAACAGTGATGATAGGCCCACTTCTCCCTCATAACAACTCAAAACAGCCACGCGGAACAGTCACATGAGTGACCCAAACATCAAGCCTAAATTCCACAGTCAGTCCTGCCGCATGTGGAATCCTTAGCTCTGCCAGAAACCATAGGGTGGGGTTGAGAGGCGCGGGACATGTTCATTTACTTAGTTTGCGTTTCTTTATTTACAAGCAATTCTTTTTAAAATGATTACTGTACATCCTACTTTTCTGGGAACATAGCAGCAAATTAGATATGGCTCTTCTGTTGTGGACCTTACATGTGCTTGAGGAGGAGAGTCAGCTACAGACAAAAGAAAGAAGAAAAACATCAGGCCATGATAAATCCCTGCAGAGAAGGGGCAATAGTGAGGGCTTGGTGGTTGCCCTACATTTTGTGGTCCACAAAGCCTCTGTGAGGAGGCCCACTGGAGCTGAGCTGAGAACACGCAAGCCAGACAGCGAAGGGACAAGCCCATGGAAAGGGTGAGGGGGGAGCAGCCTCGGAAGAAGGCACAGGCCAGGCCTAGACTGTGGGGCAGAAGCGAGCTTGCAGCTTTAAGGGGCAGCAGAGGGACTGGAGGCAGGCTGGGCGGCAGGGACGGGGAGAGAGGTATCCCCTCGCTGGGCCCTGTAAGAGCCGGCCACCAGTGCTGCAGCGACCCAGCCCGTGTCTGGACCCTCTCACATGAAGTGTGCTTTGGTTTTGTTTTTATTATTCTTGGCAGGTAAATAATATGAAGAATAAAGACAAACGCTTAAAGATCATGAATGAGATTCTCAGTGGAATTAAGGTGAGAAGTCACGCGTGGGTGGGCCTGTGTGTGCAGGGACAGTGGCGGTTTGAGCCTCAGCCTGGCGAACCCTGGGGGGGTCGTGGGTTGCTGCTTTTGGGCCGGTGGTGTGTCCCCTGCCCCTGATTATCTGGAATCGTATAAAGAAGAATGATGTTCAATCAACTAGGTCACCTGAAAACAAAGTGCACAACATAGGTGGGATACATGCTTGCTTCTTTCTGTTTATTAGCTTTCAAAATGATGCATTTCATGCTCCAAAGGTGACTAATAAGTTCTTTCTAATACACACACACACCCTGAAAATAAGACAGGTACCCCTTTTAGCTCCCCGTGATTGCTCCACATAGAACTCTGATGTGCCTGTTCTGCTAATGTGAAAATATAAAAAGATGGAGGGGGTTGAGCCTCAGCTCAAACTATTTGCTAGGTTAGTAACTTTAGGAAGTTACTTAGCATCCTCAGCTTTTTTGTCTCTTTGTTAAAATGGATATAGTAATTCTGCAAAAGCAGAGAATAAGCTCTCCCGGGTTTGTGCAGCTTAGATCTGAAAGCCCAGAGTCCAGGGCAACCCTTAGTTCCTGACAGGCTGAGACTTCTGGTCGAGGTTACTAAAAAGGTTCAGATAGTGCATATAAAATACTTCATACATAGTGGGGGGCCCCGATTCTATGCTAGCTTTCCAAAATCACACTTTGTAGACTTGATATTCACTCTCCAAATTTGCGGGAGTGTGTCCCATGGGTGGGCGAGCTGCCACAGGTCAGCAGTATGGGCGGTGCAAGCTGTGCTCTTCTCTATATCAGATCCTGAAATATTTTGCCTGGGAACCATCATTCAAAACCCAAGTCCACGACATCCGGAAGAAAGAGCTCAAGAACCTGCTGAGTTTTGGGCAGATACAATCTGTGATCATGTTTCTCTTATACTTAACTCCTGTTCTGGTGAGTGACTGCCGTGAGGTTGGGTCGGCTTCCTGAAGAGGAAGGCCTCTTCTCAATGGACTTCCCAGCACCTCTAAGCCTGTCCCCCAAACCCTGGGAATGCCGCCCCCCTCTTCAGCTCCCCAAGCTGCTATTCCTACTTCGTGTTCCCACTCTAGTTTGCCACCATGTACAATTTGTTGATATGACAGTGCAGAGGGACTTTTCGGGACATTCAGCATGAATGTGGCATCTGGGAGTTGTCTGAATAGGAGAGCGTCTATCTTTGGGGTGGGGGGAAGGAGCAGGGAGGATTTGCTGCAAAGGGAGCATTAGTAGAGGAGCCAGGAGACCCAAGCTCTGGGTTAGCAATTGACCTTGTGACCTTGGGCAAGACATTTTTCCTCTGGGCTCAGTTTTCTCATCTGTAACTTGAAGTTGTTGGGATAATCACAAAGACTCCCTCAACTCCGATCTACTGGGTTCCCAAGAAAGACATCTAGAAGAGGCCTTCTTCTTCACATAGCTGCTTGAGCCCTTTTAGCAATAAATTCCTCATGTCTTGCTCTGCCAGGTGTCTGTGATCACGTTCTCAGTTTATGTCCTGGTGGATAGCAATAATGTCTTGGATGCAGAGAAAGCCTTCACTTCCATCACCCTCTTCAATATCCTGCGCTTCCCCCTAAGCATGCTCCCCATGGTAATCTCGTCCTTGCTCCAGGTAGGTAGCAGCTCTCCCTGGCAGCTGACTAATGCTTAGGTTCCAGAAGACTGGCCTATTACAATGCATTTCTACTTTCTGCTGGGGAACTCTCAATTAGAGAGATTTGTTTGGTCTCTGGAGAACAATGACTTGATCTAGCAAAATCTCAGCTTATCTGTTAAGTGAGGATGATCCTACCAATCTCTTCTACCTCACAGGGAGGCAAAGCTGATAAAAGTGTTTACTGAGATTATGATGATTAACCCCAGTACCTGGAATGTGTCCTTGATATTTCCCAAGACTCTTGAGGTTTTTATATAGCACTAGAGAAATATAACTCAAAGGGTAGGGGGAACCCTCCTTTTGCGTGAAGCCTTGTGGTGCCAAAACTAATGCAATTGGCAAGTCCCTGGATGCCAGAAAATGAGTTTGGTCTGCAGGAAGCCTTGCCTGGGACAAAGGAGTGCTTGAGACCTGAAAAAGGAGCAAATTCATGCTGAGGGGACCAGATTACGGGCCCCAGGAGGGAGGTCACAGGACGGGGCCGATGGATGAGGCAGCTGTGCTGAGGGAGCATGGCAATCTGGGTCTGCATCATCCCGGGGTAGCTGGGGTGGCCGATTCAGACCCCTCAGGCCAGAGGAAGAACGGGGATTCAGGACTAAGCCTCCCTGTCCTGGAGGCTGTTAGGAAAGGCTGAGTGACTTGACTGGTAAAGAAACAACATCCTCTTTTTAGATTCAAACCACCTCACACAGATCACAAGAGCAAGGTAGCCCAGGTGTCTGCTCCAGTCTTGCAAGGCACTGAGGACCATGCAGTCAGGGCTGATGACAAGGTAGCAGGGCCATGGTGCTTTGTGGGAGCAGATCCACACAGCAGCCAATCAGTCTTACAGCCTGCAGTTGTGCTGTCTGCAAGAACAAGGCCCAGAGCCTGCTGCTTCCTCAGAACCTGGGGGCGGATGAGGAACGATGCTGTTCAGCCTCCCGGGAAGAGAGACGCCTCGTGAAAGCTCCAGGGGGTCCTCCCAGTGCTGGTGCCCAGGAGGACCACGGTCTGCAAAGACTTGGGTCAGCCGGATCTTGCGGCTCTGTGCAGACGCGCTAGGTCCCTGTGGAGCTGTGACCAGAGGGTCCTGGCAGTCACTTGGTCAGGATACTGGGTGGGTCATCCGAGTATGGAGTCAGTTAAAGGAAAGCTCGCCGAAGATCCAGCCACCTGAACCAGAGAGACGTTGGGCTTTGGTCTAAGAGAAAGGCAGAAGCCAGTGTCTGGCCTTAAACCCAAAGATTGGCGAGAGAACAATAGAGTTGGCCCCTACCCCAAGTTTTCTGAGCAGGTAATGCAGAGCATCTTGATTTCCTTCTGACCAGAGTGGGGTGCCTCCTGGGGGTGAGGGGAGACTCAGTCTGTGGTGAGGTCAGGACAGAACAGCCACAGAAAATGGCAAACTATGGGCAAAGAGCCAGGTGGGTTGCCTATATGCTTCCATATCCAAGGCAGATAACACAATCCAAATCCTTTGCTTGTTTGTTTTTGTTATTGGGATGTTTGTTTGTGTCCGTGTAGGCCAGCGTTTCCACAGAACGCTTAGAGAAGTACTTGGGAGGGGATGATCTGGACACATCTGCCATTCGACATGATCTCCATTCTGGTAGGTGGGCTTCCCAAAGCTGCTGCCCAAAGTCATTGACAGCGCTGCCCTGAATATTTAATGGTCAAGAGCTCAGCAGTGTCAGGCCGATTAGAAGGCAGAGCTAGGAGGTGAGCTGGACCAGGATGGCTCCTCTGTGGGTAAGAGGGAATCCTGCAAGGCTCTAGAAAGAAGTCAGGATGGAGCCAAACAGTGGAACTGGGAAGGTTGATTGGAGAATGGAATGTGCTGGCTCTGGAAGTTCAAGGTGTGGGGAAATCCACAGCCAGAGGAGCAGTGGGTCTGGAATCCAGGGAAGGAGAGGATGGGCTTATATGTGGAGGTAGAATTTATACCAAGACACGCAGCAACAGAAAGCCTGGAAATAAATAGGGCAGGAATCCAGGCTGCCATCAGGTGTGGGATACCTGAATCAAAAATGACTCCCAGGCAGGCAACTTCTGTAGCACAGGTGACAGCACCTGACATTAGGGGCCCCGGGGTCTGCTAGAGGCTGCAGAGAGGGACATATGAGGCCTGAGAAGAGGCAAATCATGGGAGCTCCCTCTGACCAATGAGTGGCCTTTTCCTTAACAGACAAAGCTGTGCAGTTTTCCGAAGCCTCCTTTTCCTGGGATCTGGATTCAGAAGCTACAATTCGAGAGTAAGTTGCCTCTTTCCCATCCCGTTACATCAGTCCTCTTTGTCAGTCTGTTATAGGGTAGCCCAGAGTGGACTGGGCCACCTGTCAGTGGGACATCACCTATGCACTCACAATTCAGTTATACTGCAGGTACACACAAAAGGGTCAATAATGGGTTTATTTACAAAAGGTCAAAGGAATAGGAAACAACCCAGGGAAAGAAAGCGGAATACAAAGTCACTGGAATACCTTACGGCTAGGCTGACTGAACACACAGAGTCACGGGTCAGGAGAGCTGCTTCCTGAGCGACAGAGAGCACCCAAGAGATGCAATCATGCCCTATTTATCCCCCAAATGTCCCAGAATTCCTGCTAGCTCCGCCTTTGGCTCCTTGCAGTTCTCTCCCTGGTACTGCTGGGAGCTGCTGGAGTAGGGGGTAGTGTCCAGAAAGCTGGAGTAGGGGGTGGAGTCCACAGACTCTGCAGAGTTCCTTTAGGACATCCTGCCCTTGAACAAGTCCTGTTATTGGAAAATTCCTTGTGACAGATAGTGCATGGGGAGTGAGCTGTGTGCACAAGTTCCATTAGCTACTTGCAGACTACTTGAGCTGCTGGCAAAGGTCTGACTGTCCTCTGTCTGCAACTCGTCTGCTGCCTCCTTCCTTCCTGCCCTGGATGGTGCGCCTGCAGGGGGGGACCCAGAAACATACTTGTCCTCCAGGTCGAGGGTGGAAGCATTGTGGGATTGGCAGTGGCCTCAGTCTTGGGATGTGGGAGAAGATACGCATTAGAACGTAAACTCAATTGAAGCTCATTTCAATAAATGAACTTAAGAGTTTAAGAATAATCATCAAGAATCTTGGGATCTGACTTCTTTCTCCAGAATACTTATGAGCTGCCTTAAAAAAATTACTTATTTATTTATTTATGCATATAGAACTGGGGTACAGGTCAGAGATGAGGGGGTGTGTGAGAGAGTATTCACCAGAGACAGAGTGGGGCACAGAACAGGTGGACTGATGAAGTACACTGCTGAGGGGAGCAGCAGGCAGTTCAGGAGAGGTCTGCTGCACCATGTGGATCACCTACCTCGCCGGGATTGAGCTTGTGCTGCAATAGCAGTGATAGCTTCATAGTGCTGTGCTTTAACCTGTTGCACCATCAGGGATGGCAGAAGAGCTACCTTTTAAAGATTCAACTTCAGTCTGAAGTTTTATGTATAAATAGTCTGTTCCTACACCCCACTCTGCAGACTACCAGCTCTGCCTAAGTCAACCCCTTCTTGTCGTGCCTCTGAATTTAACAGCATGCAGCTCACCGGCTGTCTACAGCCCACACCACACAATGGGGAGCTGAGCAGGCTGGATCTTTCTTCACAACCAGGACCCCCTTGCAGTATTTGCTGTACAGGGACTTCCCACCCTTCTCTCCTGTTCCTACAGTCTTTACCGGAGACTGTAGGAACAAGAATCCTGGAGTTTCCCCCAAAATATGTCCCCTAGAGAAGAAGACCCTTCATTAGTCCCTCCCAACCTGAAAGCCTCCCTTTGCAGAGATGACTAGACACAGACCCCTGTTTGCTAGTGTAAGTCTGGAAGGAGTTCATCTTGATATGCAGGTTCAGAAAGATGGTAAACAAGTCTGATGATCCTAATTTCCAGAGACTCAAATAATAGGACGAACACACAGAATTTCCAGGAGTTCAGCCCAGCATGAATCCTCCACAGCCATACACTGCCAAGTCTCCAGGGAAAGGGACAGGAATCTGCCTCCAGTAAGTGCTCCTTCAAGTGGCTAATTCTGAGTGACTAGCCAAGTTCAGGAAATGTGACTGTAGTCAAGCCCATTAATTTAGACATGGAAGCCCAGAAGAACCCGCTAGGGTCACACAGCCCAGCAGTGGCCAAATTAGAACTTCAGCTCAGGTTCAGTGCTACTACAGTGGTTGCCAGTAGAAGAACCACACTTGGCATAACAGTTCTAGGTAGTTGCATACATTAGGGATTACTCTAATATAGCAGAATTGAAAAAATAATAATTATCATAAAATAAATACTTTGGCATCTTGTCTATCTAGGGCAAATTTTCTAACCTAGAGTGAAGATCTCCTAATGCCAAATTTCCCATGAGAGTCTGAGAAGTGGCTTGATTTATTCTGAGTAACTCTTCTCATGTCCTTCAAACATTTCTCTGTTTCAGCGTGACCCTGGATGTTATGCCAGGTCAGCTGGTGGCTGTAATGGGCACTGTGGGCTCTGGGAAATCCTCCTTGATGGCAGCAGTTCTGGGAGAAATGGAAAATATCCATGGTCACATCACCATTAAGGTGAGTGGGACTGCCAAGGAGACAACTTCTGGCACTCGATTGTGGCTTCTTTACTGCTCCTTTCTCACTTGGGAGAAGGCGCTGTGGACTAGACTGATAGACACTGCTATAGTGTTGCTGTAGGTCAAGTCTTGGAGACATCTGGTAGACCTGGATAGTATAGCTCCTTTGGCCGACATATATATTCAGATTATGGGGGTGGACGCTAAGAATATGAATTTTTAATGAATCTTTAGGTAATTCTCATATGTATATTCAAATTTGAAAATTTTAATAAAGATGTCTATCTATGGACAATTCTACTTTATCTCAGTCCTTCTGGAAACCTCACATTCTGTTACATTTCTCAAAAATAGCAGGTGCTAAGGGAGAGTTAGGTGAGATTGTTCAAAATATATGATATAATTGAGTTATCAAAAACAATACCAATAAAAACTAGTGCTATAAACTCTCCACTAGCAATTGCAACCAGCATTACAATCAGAGCTGGGCCTCCCACCTCCCTCTTTGAGAGTTTGGTCTTTGAAAGTACTTATTTCAAATACAAAAAAATCATCTTCCATTATTTTTTTTAAAGATTTATTTATTTATGCATACAGAACTGGGTATAGGCCAGAAGTGCAGGGTGGTGAGAGGATTCACCAGAGATAGAGTGGGGAGCAGAACAGGCCGACTG